GCATGCGGCATATCCCCTTGCGTTAAGAATTCGTTACGAGGCCAGTTTCGATTTCATGAAGCAACCAGGGCTTGGTTTTGAATTCACGTGAAGTACAATATCTCCGTCGGATACCGCAAAAAATCATTGGTTCGTCTCATTCCCGTTTGTTCAGATCTACTGTCATTAATCACAAACGCTTAAGTGGAATGGTCGCTTTTTGATAATTCTAAGAAAGCCGGACGTGAAACTCAAAACTGGTTTGAAGAAACACCGACAAACATCTGGGCTTGAACAGCTGCCGTCTAAGTACGCCAATGGCTCGTTTAACCATCGTTGTGTTCTGCACTTTGTTGGCAGCAGTAAGTTAGCCTTCCATTGATTTGTCTTGGATCATGCTCATTTTATCGTTATGGTCATAACTGCAACCAGTAGAGCATGACTCGAAATTTTATTCAACATATAAGTAAAATCTCGTGTTATGTCTCCGGATTCACGCGACGTTGTCGTTTGGTGTCCCTGTCTCTAGAACACCATCGAACCCATGAAGTTGGCAACGGTCCCATGGATGCAAAACTGCGTCACAGCGCTCTGCCGTACCAAATCTATTTGAAACCTGATCCACATACCTCCATGCATAGGCATACGAAATCAAAGTTTAACTCTCGTACTTACGGTTTCAGTATTTCTTATCGTTGTCTAGGGGATGAACCCGTTAATCACGTCTAACAGTTCACAAGTAAACCCTGAATGTCAAGATAAAATTTTTATTACTTGTGGCTACTGACCGGTTATTGTTTGACCTAAGACATTGATATAATATCGCATTCCATGCACGGAAGACGCCATAACACTAAAAACGTGGGCGCTTGAAAAATCCTTTGGACAGTTAGAAGCGAATCGATGTGTGACTAAGTCCTGTACATTCGGATAATTGACAAAAATTGTTTTCGTTTTCAGCGGCATTGAATACCAACACTTAGCACGGTCCAATACACTTAAGACACTTTACTTGTGTATATGCCTATGGATCGAGGTATATCAGTTGTTACTGGAACCTATCTTCATTTTCGCTACACAATTATGCAGTTTTACGTCAAAGCATTGCAGATGCCATGAGATACCCCATGGATTCGACGTGCTTAAGTGGTCTTCTACGCTACTAGAAAAAAGTGAACGGCGTGACTGCATCGTGAAAATATAAGGAGTTAGCATTAGGTTATTATTTTTCTCAGCTGTATTGAAAACTAGCTATTTCTCAGCAAAAAAAGGATATCGTGAATAATTTCTGTGAGTTTTTGTACTTAGGGATCTAGGAACAGCTATTAGTCTTGGAACATGTCTTGGATTGACCCAGTTGAATGATCCTGCTTTGCGTCGACGAATTGTAGATGCAATAAAATACCATGTAACTGTGGCCTGGTTAAAGGGTCCAGTGGGCGACTAGAAAATAAGATACCGTACTACTGTGCCTGCGCATCTTTAAATTAGACGGGAGATTATCGTTCTCATTGGCAGTACTGAAAACTAGAAGGTTGCCAGCTTAGCCGATCTAGAATAACAGGGAAAATTGTTTATTACACGGAATTCACAATTTAGAATTAATTAACTTGATTAGTCTGACTGGATTTAATCTAACTGACGATCTGTTTGGGCAACTCTTTGCTGGCTCAGTGCGTAGCAGAGCAAAAAGGCGATCATCATACTGTCGCACTATGAATATGAATGATGTCTGATGAGTATGCATAACTTCCATGTTATCAACATTGTTTCGAGCTACCCGTTTTGTCGTACTTGCATCTGACTAGAAGGCAAAAGAAATACGTGCGTGTACTAGGGAAATAAGAAGTGAAAGTGGGCACTTTCGCGTTGCATATGCATGATGCATATATCGTTTAAGACAAATCTACAAAGCGTATTTTGCAGCGTTTGCTACAGTTGCCTAGGGGGTAATTAATTGCCAATTAGCATAGTATGGCATTTGAACAAATATGTTTGATATTATTGTGCTGTAACCTATGAAATGTAATTCATGGAACAGCGTTAGGATGAATAGGGCATTGCGTTAAGTAATAAACGATGTAGTTGTGCATAGAATTACAGGTACTCATATGCCTGTTGCATGTCCGAATGCTCATAGGTCAAACAGCAATAAGGGCAGTGATAGGCGCTGTTGAATCATTCCTTGCAGGAGCAATGCGCCAGTTTACATACTCCAGATTATGGACAAATATTTGTAACATTTATATCGACGAGTTGACAATAGAAATTTTTGCATGCTGGAAACATTCTTGACCTATTAGAACTTGAAAACTTCTTTCCTCAGTTACGCTAATATCTTCAGTTGGAAGAAAGGTATCTTCTTAGCCCCTTCCTATGATCGCCTCCTATAATCAGCAGTAAATATTGGATCACTGACTGAAACAACAAAGTTCTACAAAACTTTGATTGCTTGATCAGGTTTTGATCACAGAAACTCTAAATAAACTACCGTATAAGTCCTCTCCTTGCCAAGTCAGGAAGTCACAGTCATAGTGGTTTCGGAGACAAGGTGAGGACGTAAGAGTTGGAATATCAATGCAACATAGAAACTGACCAATGTGTTGGGCGTAGGGTTAGTTTGCTAAGAAATGCAGAGCAACATTAAATTTCGCATTTGAAATTTCATCATGTAGCTTGTCCAGTTAGTGGAAGCCTGGGTAAATGCTACCTGAGGAAAGTAGCCGGTTACGAAGTGAAGGTAGAGAATAAGGTTCGATGAACGAGCGACCAACGTATGAAGCGTCACGCATGGAAATCTTCTAATATTCTCTACATGACAGTGAAAGCTGTCTTGCTTCAGGACCCTGCTATTTAGCATGCTCATTTCAAAGCAAGCCCATCTTAGTATTTCGTAGTTAAGCCGGTAAAATATAAATGGCACCACCTACTGAAGCATTGTTCGTGAGGCTACAGACGGCAAGATGATTCGAGGTGCTGAAATGTGATATAGCCATGTCCTCTTTAAGTGGCTAAAGAGGAGTGCAACTCGCAGTTAAATCTGGCTTTTGAAAAAAATACGCTGGAAAGAGGGGTTTGAGCTTGATACTTTTGGTGGCTTCAGTTGTCACTAAGGTAAAGAAAGGCTTATGTCATTGACTATACTACAAGGAGCGTCATATCCTGTTTCTGGGCAAATCCTGAAATAGGAATTTTTCATTCACGCACGCGTCCTTCGAATCGTGTCACAAGTTCTTCCCTCAATTCACTCAGACGTATTATTTTGAGTTTACACGTTGTGCTGAGTCTCATAATGGACAGTCATCGAGCAAGTTGGTCAAGACGGAGTGCAGCTCTAAGAGTCGTTCGTGTCTGACAGCTCGGACGTGCCTTTCGCTCATTGCGGCATAGGAAAACAGCATCGCCAGGCTTTCCCAGATTTTCGCATGTTAGTGACTTGCTTTCCTCTTCTATACTAGTTTCACCAAAGCAACGCGTTGTTAATTTATTGTCCAAGAGATGTAGCGTTTAACAGAAATGATTTTTTCTGCCTGTATTTGAGCTCTGGCATGTCTGGAATTTGAAGCAGCCCTCATGCCGCTGTAAAACCTTGCCAACAGAGTCAAACGGATGCGTATCATTCAACTGTATCCTCAAGTTTGTTTGCAAACCTGACGAGGTTTTCCAT